ATATTTTGTGCTGTTTAGTGTGATATATCACGCGTCACGCTCCATCGTGATAGACCTTGCTCCGCAAGGTAATGCCATGTACAAGTTCAATACTTTCCAATAGGAGTCGCTCGATGGTTTATCTTCATTGATCTTAGTGAATCGTAAAACTACCTCTGGCACAACTGGCACCTATCAATTTCAAACTCCTCGCTCCGCCCTGCCACGCCACTGGCTACACCACTTAAGCATCCGTGGTAGTATATGTCAGGCTGGTCATGAGCCTATGCAGAGTCATGATGTCTCTGAGCTGATGATCTACTAGGCAAGGGAAGCTTTGTATGCCCATGCTGTCCTCTGTTATTCTATGCCTGACATTCTCTTAGGGATGGGTGTACAAGGCCACTCGAGTAGTCACTGGTCAGATCATGGCCGTCAAGAAATCCCGAGCATCTCTCGCACTCAAAACCACCCCTTAAATCATGAGCGACGGGTTCTGCAGCGTCTGCAGGGGCACCCTTCCATTCCAACAGTCTTCGCCTATGGTCGATTGGAGTATTTCGACTATCTTTCTATGCATCGGGATGAACCTTGATGAGGTACGGGCATGCCGTTCTCTACCTGCAGCAAACACCTTAGTGGTTGTTGATCAGATGGTATGTAGTATGGGTCCATTAGTAGGCTCATGGTGACCTTGCGCTAGATCTCAGCTCTCGAACACATACACGCGAACAAACTTGTCCACTGCGACATAAAACCTGGGAACATACTCCTCCACCCAACCCAACCCAACCCATTACATACACTTTCATCCGATGTGCCCTGCCCCTTCTGAGTCTCTGGACTTCCCCGCGTATTGTATCATCTTCAAGATAGACTGGATGGACTCGGCTGGTAAGCGAGTCTCGGCTACCTGAGCCTAGTAGAAACGATCAATTACAGATTATAACAATATTGAATGAACATACACTTGTCCCCTCAGGATAATATTTGATTGGTTCGAGCAACACATAGGACAGACTGTCACCCTCGTGCTCAATCGGTACTGCTTGATGACCCCCAAGGGCCTGGGGTGCTGATCCCAAGGGGCACCATTGCATCCTGTCATCTATCCTTCCTGCTTCTAGTTGTTCTGTCAAGGTTAAGCCATTGAATGTGGTCATTGTAATGACATTCAAAAAATGTCCACCCTGATCCACCTACTTGACATTCATAAGTGTTTGAGGGAATATGATAAGTGCACTCACTTCAAGAACTACTGCAAGCTTGTTGACAGGTTTACCTCTACTGATACTCTTCGCTGTTGTGCCTAGCTTCATGCCTTCAACTGTCTTTGTTGCAATGGGAACAACTATGGACGGTGTGCTACACCAAATGATATTGCCAACAGTGATGGCATCAAGCGCAACTGGAGTCAGCGGCATGTTGGATTGAAGAAGGTGTCGACCTGGTCGCAACGATGTAAAAGTACGAACGGAAACACTTAGCTAATGGGACCGGAGGATCAACATGCGGTGGAGTTCATATGGTGCAGAAGCGAGAAGTCCAGGAAGTCAAGAAGTAAGTAAAACATACGTGTGGCATCGAAGGTGCAAGATAACAATAGTGCAAGAATGGTAATACTGAAGCCAACACACCCCCTTGCCAAGATGCTACTCGCGTGTCTCTAATTGTAGCCCTGCTACATGCTTGATGAACAAAGGACGTGGCAACGCCTTCGTCAGGATGTCTGCAACATTTTGGCAGCTGCATATAGTGATGCGGTGTCTTGTTACTTAAGGGTCTTATATGAAAGTTGTGTATAATGACAACACAATTATACACGGTGAAGACTTCTTGCCAGTCCTTAATTCCACGGTCTCCGACTTTTCTACTTCATGGGAGGTAATGTGGTGAGTTCTTGGGAGGATTTAGTTTGTTGTCCTCTTCTTGTGTAGTCTTATACGAAGTTGTTGTGGAATGTTCTGTGTTCTGGATAAATTCGTTAGGTTTGTTTCAGCCTAGTAGGTTGTGTTTCAACCTATGAAAGTCTGTTTCAACTTTGTCGTCCTTAGATGTGTCTCACTTTCCGTTGAAAGGGAGAGTCTTATGAATACACATAAAGCTTAGAATGAGAGCTGTTCAATGGTTATATAGTCAACCCCTGTAAGGTAGTATATAACCTAGAGTAGAATAACAATAATGAAAGTTATATAGTCGACCCCTGTAAGGTAGTATATAACTTTAGAATAGATAATGATATCTTAGATTACCTCAAGGCACTTATATTGGCCTGCACTTTAAGTCTTAGTGGTCTCACATGGTTTGAGATAAGAGTCAAGTGGGAGGATTGTATTTCATGGGTGAAAATGGGGTCCTTTTATACCTTTTGGGAACCCCCTTACTAAGCATGATTAATCAGATGGATTGGTAAGAATGTGGCTTACAAACCAGGTGATGAATCAGCTTATTACTAAGTACATTACAAATACAGTGTAATCTTACAAAGAAATTAGAAACCATGACAAACCATGACTAAACATGTTGAGTCATGTTAAATGTTGTTACAAAGCATGGCCAATCATGACTAAACATGTTGAGTCAGCTTAAATAATGTTACAAACCAGAATATTTCCCAGTCACATGATGTGATGACAAATAAAAGCTGGTGGCTGAAAGAAGCCAAATAAAAATAAACAGTCAGAAATAAATAGAGATACAAAACTTGGTGGCTGAAAGAAGCCAAATAAAAATAAACAATGAGAAATAAACAGAAGGTCACATGCTTGATACAAATACAAGGTAAAATAAGCCTGTAAAGTGAGAAATAAAAAACAAGACAATGAAATAAAGGAAAAATAGAGAGGTAACTTAGTGACAAAGGGCTAGACAGTCTCTCATATCTTCCTTATCACTCTCTATATATATCTGACATAGTATGAATCACATACCATGCATGACAGCGGAAGTCCGGTTCAGTCCGGTTCAAGAGAAAATTTTGCAAACACCGAACACGACTGCACATTCGGTTCAGCTGCTAAGCTGAACGTTGGACCAGACATCCTCGAACGCATTCTGCCAAGAAACTTCGTAATAGGCCCTAAGTCCTTGATCCCAAAGCGGTGAGCGATTCGGCCTTTGACGTGCACGAGGAAAGGTTTCGAGTTAGAGGTCCCCATTCCGTCATCGACATGCCATCCTACAATGCAGAGGATATGACCGGTGGAAGGGGTGGACTTGTCGTATAGGCAGATGGCGTGATCAACAGCACAGCGAGTGCTGCCATGAAACAGACAGAGGCGGTCTTGATGACTGATGCGAACCTCCGTGGTCTCCTTCATCTTTGTCAGAATCATGGCACTAATCTCCTCCGGAGCAAATTCCATCCCAAGTCCAGGCAAATGAGTCGAAAACAGTGTTAGTTGACAGATTTGAATGGGAACTGATTTCAAGTCGTCCACTTTTGACAGGCAAATGAGACGGGCGTAGCTATTTTGACGCGGATGTGACACGGCACTGATGTGGCACTGATGAGCCTTGATGCGGCACTAACGATCCTTGACACGGCCACTGACACGCCCGATGTTTAACGGGTGGACATTCTTCGACTGGCAGAGAAGGAACTACAGTCTTGGATAGCTCGTCTGCAGACTCCAAAGATGTAGCATCGGAGTTATCACTGAATAAGGGGCCATGCTGTCAATCACATAAGTTAGATATCTATCAAACGGAGCAGGTAATGTCTTCCTCACTTCAAATTCACTCTCACTATAATCTCTTGCAGAAACCCATCCATCAGGAATTCTGAGATACACATTCCATCGCCTATGATGTTGGCCAGCATCTAAACCCACTGCTGGTTGCCTGCAGGTCCTGCTTCTTCGGAATGTGATAATAAGGGTTTCTTCTCGAGCCCAGAGGAGACAAACGAAAGAATGCTTAGTAAAATAAATTTATTACTGCCTATGGACAATTACAGTGTACGACGTCTAATTCTGTCAGGATGAAAAGGAACACTGTTAGAATATCAAATATTATGACAGATCTAAAAAAATATACCTAAGTTATACGGACAGTGTGACAGTTAAGGTGGTGAGGTTTGATGTGGCATGTGGAGGTGGTGAGGTCTGACGCTAGACTTGTAACCAGTCCTTACTATGTCTGATATGTCCGTGGTAATAAGCCAGGCTGGTCACGAGCCTAGGACTGACACGCAAGATGCATACTAGTGGTATGAACACAGAGGACAAGCACTGTAAATTTGGTGAGAGGTGAATACAGTATTGGACGTTAGGACTGAAGGACGAGTCTCAGCATGTTAGGAAGAACTGCTAAGTATATTCACAGTACCTGAAGGACGAGTCTACAATAAGAGTATGATGAGAAATGAACAAGAAACATAAACACAACGTGAAACATACCTCAGCATGTTAGGAAGAACTGCTGAGGTGTAAATAAACTAAAACAACGAAATTATAAGCTACAGTACTGACGCCGGAATGCCAAAGATAATGAAAGAGGAAACATGACGAAGCGATGACGAAGCTGATTCCAACACACCCCCTCAACGAGACAGCACTTCCAACAACACCCTGGAAAGACAGCCACCCCCATCATTGAGTCACAAGTGCCAGTCCTGCGCGATGGTGAATGAATAATGGGTGTCACTGCGGAAACGAGAAAATAGTCGGGCCAGATTAGACAAGGAATAGAACCTATAACAGGACAGTAACACAATGTAAGAAAATAGATGTTTCGCCAAGAGTTAGAATCAGGAAAGGTACATTTGCGGCACACAAACTGGACACCGGAAACAAAGGATTTACGGGCTCTCCATAGGTGTGCAATAGTCTAATCCGACATCGGAATTTAGGGATTTGCACGTCGAGTTTACTTCTGAATAGAATAGGAAACAAGTCTGATTATTATCTGATTATACATATGTTGTACATGTGCTACCCATGCTTCCTAGGATCCTCCATGCAGCTCTGGATTTTCTCTTGCTTCCTCCCCACAGCTCAATGCTGCCCACTAGTAACACCATGTATCCTGGACATGGACAGCGACAGCCTAGTAGGGCTCCCAATGACCCGCAAAACCAGTTTAATCCAGCGATACACCATGGAACTGAGCCGGAGCCTTACAGTAACCAGTTCAATCCTGGAGATTCCTCCCTCAGCCTTCCGAACCATGGCTTGCCCCGGCGTGACGAATTTTTTAGTGCTGGGATGGGGGGACAACAGGATGGACCTGTTACACAAACCGTAATTAGTCCAATAGTAACACAACTCGATAAAAACTCACTTGTAATCATGTAGCCTGCGCCTGGATCCTTTCAGCGGCACCTGCAGGATGCTCCACTGTATCCCTACCGAGCTGCAGTGACTCCGCATGCTGTATGTCTTCTGGCTACGAGAAATATTGGTATCAGCTCTAATTTGTCATTTAAGGGAGGAACATCGCACCTAGGTCAGACTCCGACACCATTCACTGGAAGCCAGCCGTCATCTTGAGGACAGTCCGTGGGTCCAGTGACGCAGCACGGGACTCCATTGGATGGCTATACTCAGCCCCAGAACTACGGCAACCAATCATTCTATTCAATGCATCAGCGTCAAATGGGACATCATAGCGGCACACCTCATAACAATCTTGATACCCCCGTAGATCACTCGTCCTTGAATTCAACTGTAGCTCGTCTTGTATCTGAAGTGCAAAACCTGAAGGACGTCACTCAGAACCTGCTGTTTTCCAATAATGAGCTTCAGCAATCGAACGACTCACTCAAGGCACGCATTCAGGTAAATGAAGAAGCCGTCGAGGAGATCTTGAAGACCAACAGCAACAGGAAAAAAGTTGGCAACAGAAACGTATCGAATTCACATGCAGCCTTGAAAGTAAGCTCATCAACCAGACTACACGACGATCAATAGACTTACTATGCATGTACAGCCAATAATCCACCCTTACTTTTTTGAACTTTGTGATATTGATCCGTGCCTCAGCAAATCAAAGCGCATAAAGCTGTTGGGAGCTGTCAAACCTTTGGGTAATGGGGAACCTCACGAGGCAGTATCTACCAAGATAGTTTGGCACCTGAACTGGCTTGGTAACGTTGATGATGATGTCAATGCACTGTACATCAAGGAGATCGTCAACCTGGTATGGGAAAATGAGAAGGTACAAAATATTCAATTTGATTGATATCAATAAGACTCACATCACTGTTTAGGCGCGCCGCGAGAATCCTAACGCCAAGCATGAGATCGCTAATGAAGACTATGACCTCACTATCATCACCGAGTGCGTGAAAACGTACTTTCGAAACATTCATAAGCAAGCAAGCGACCAGGTCAACGACGATAAGGCAGCCAAAGCTCTGGAACGCAAAGATAGATTGCGACAGCGTTCACGTCGTCAAGCAGTGAGTCTCTCATTTAATGATCAGATGTCAGTCACTTACATGATGTTAGATCACAAAATCACGCTGTCAAGCTGCGTTGATCTATGAGACTCAATCAGGGAACAAAGGAGCCGTTGCGATGATAGATACTGACTTTGCTTCTGACATCCTTTCCTATGATTCTGAGGGGGATCTTTCTGCAGACACACTATCCAGGTGGGAGAGAGCGAAGCTTGCGAAACTGGCATTTTATGTAGAAGGTTCAAAATGGCGATCTGTTGATGTAAGTCAGCGTCATGGTGTATCTGCAAATAAAAACACGTGCTCATCTAAATATACAGTATGTTGCCTTTCTCCGCTGGTTGTCTTTGCGCAATATGCAGAAGAACGAGGAGCACAACGAGCCTGATACGGACGCAGCAGATGACACCACTCGGCCACCAGCTAACAAGCATCGCAGAACAGATGCGCAGAAGCATCGCAAGAAAGTCTTTGACTTAGCGCCAGCAAAGATGAATGACAACAAGCCAAAGTCACATAAGAAAAATGTACCATTCAAATCTATGGTATCTGCAGTCTGGGCTCGTGATCACGCCGATGATACATTTCTTGATGGTACTGAATGGCTGACGGGCTTTTACAAGAACATAGGCCAGGGTGTATTGATAAAAGAAGACGAGGAGTACTTGGGAGAACTTCAGAAGTGGCACGACGAAGAGATGGATGCTGATGAGATGGTGGTTTGAGCTACAAGATGATTTTGGTCACATTCAAGTCGTTTTACTGTGTATAATGCATTACCCAGTCAATTTATCTTGTTCAAGAAGCCTTTGACGTACCTTGGCAAGATTGATAGTTGCCCATACCTTTGTCTTTTCGACACTGATGGACACAGTAGTCATTGCTAACTGACCATTAATCCAGTCAGGATCAATGAGATGCGGCAACTGAACTTCATCTTCCAGGTACTCTCCAAGTGTCCACAGCCGCACACTCACAGACTCGGCACTGAAGATAGCGTTTTTTAACTCATAAATGAATAGATGTCAAATGGTACACTCACAACTTATTCCATACCATTCCTGCATCACCCTGCCATGGTTTGAACCAACACATGCGCGCAAACCAAAGTGATTGCACATGTTCACGCCAAGACTGATCAACCTGGAAAATTTCCAAGACCTCGCCGTGTAGATGAATAGGATTGTCAGCGGGGATAATGACATGAACAAAGGAAGAGCGGTTTGATCCGACAGTACGAGAGGCATAGTAGCACTTCCCCTTGATGACCACATAGTCAAAAAAAATAGCAGTGCGATCAAGTGGGAGGCTGTGAGGGACAACAGGGCGATCACAGAGGCAGTGAACTGGTGCCAGAGGATAGCGGAAGCAAAGTGTTTGAGCAAGTAGTCGATAAGTATCTGTCGTCATCAATGTCTTCTGATGGCGGGGACTCAAGGCATAGGATTGACCAGCTGATTGTTTATAATATTAATTTCTGCACTATACACGAGGAAAGCAAGACTCACCATCGGCGTTTACATCATCAAGGTCTTTGGATAGCACAGTCAAGCCAGCGACTGTACCTCGTTCTTCATTTGAGGCTTTCAGCATGATTTCTGCAACCGTGCATGGAAGTGATGTCTTGCTGTGATTGAGTAAAGAAAAAGTCTGAAAGTATGGAATATTGTAGTAAGTTGCGAAAGTATAACAAAATAGACCATTACCATCCGTCCTATGTGACACGTCCTCTGAAACTCGGTGAAGAATGTTGTCTCCAGCTCACCATTTGCATGGTTATTGGTCTTGAATGATTTCAGGACTTTATTCAGCCATTCGAAAAGGAAAGTCCAAAAATCATGAAGAGGGCTGAAATTGCGAGTGCATTCAACAACATGTGTAGCGTAGTGGTGATTAGGTTTAATCACTGCAGAGCCATATAACTTTGAAATAAGAGACATTAGCAGAGACTTTGGTAAAGGTAGAGAGACTTACGTTGATGAGCTCCGAACAATATTCACGAAGGAGGCGGTCCGCATGGTCAAGTTCATGATCGCAGATTTGATGTTTGATTAATATTCGGAGTGCAGCAGACAACTTCAAGAAGTTTGCAGGATCGTCGGGGTGAAGGGAGAATTTGATGTTAGTGGGTTCAGAATCTCCATCGTCTGGCTCTTGGTCGAGAAACTGAGCTGTTGCATTTGATGTTGGTGGTGGCTGGGATCGGGGATGACCTTCAGGCAGACCTTCGACATTTTGCTCAGTGGCTTTCCGTTTGCCCTTCGAATAATCAGCGACAAATCAGATACACATTGAACTCATACCTTTCTCTGAACAGCCTTGGCCTTTTTCTTGGCAGCAAGTCGTGCCTTCTCAGCCTGTTTGATAGCTGCGAGTCGTAGCTTCTCCTGGGTTTTGGCCTCGGCTGCAGCAACCTTGTCCCTGGCTATGCGAGCTTTCTCAGCTTCGAAAGCTTCCTTACCACGTTTTTTGGCCTCTGCAAGTGCGTTCCTGTCGTCAAGTTTGCGAGTAGCATCTGCTTCCTTTTTGTTCTCCAATTTCTGTATCATAGCGACTCGCTGATACAGAATTTGGTCATCACCGTCAGATGGTAGACAGGTAGACCACAACTGAGGTATCTATGAAGTATTTCAGCTACTGCGCTGGCACATAGATAAACAGTATAGATAAACTTACAATTATTGGACCGTAAGCGGTTGCAAGAAGGAGCCATTGATCCGCAGTCAAAGAACCTCCTGACGGCATCCCTATATCTGTGGGCAGTCGGCCACATGATCCAGGAACAATGAACTTAATATGACCGTACTAGTTAGTAGGACCATAGGCAGAGATACTGAAAACATGTACATCAGCAAGCATCTCATGCAGCGTCTGGAGTTCATGTGTAGGTCGAAGTATCTTACTTTGGACCCAGATATTGTAGAAGTGGGTCTTTACGAGGCCTGATCATGCATCAAACAAATGTAATGTGCAATGAGAATGTGCTTACCGAGAAACAAATTATGCATAGGGTCAATAATTACCTGTTCAACGATGTTGAAGTAGGGAAGTCTAGATAGTTGCGTGTATCTGGTCGCAAATTCCTTGACAAAATTCTTGCAAGCATTAGCGGTAGTGAGATTACGATATCATTCTCCCAGTTCACGATGCTCTTCGTTTGTCCGAGCTTTAAATGCTGGGCAGGTCACTGATTTAGCATAGAATCAATACAAGAGAGTTACTTACCTCCGTCAGTAAAGGCTGATGGTTTGTCTTTGTTGGCAATGTTGATCCAGCACGCTGTACAGAAGTGAGTATGTGAATGTGAAGCAAAGCCCCCAATCTTATGCGCAGCAGGCTTATCACAGATGACGGCCACCAAAATGACATGAACAAGTTGTCCTATGATGAAGATACAAAGTTGGTGAATGAGAGGTGACCGAAACATTTGCAAGTGGGGGGACACACCTTGAGGACATGATTCAGTAGGTACTTTGATGCCGTCTTTCCATAATCGAAGGAGGTCTGAAACGATTGGGCGGAGAAACCGTTGGATTTGATCTGGATTCTGTTCCTTGGGGCCAGGGAGAATACTGGTGCACATCAAATTAGATGTGCGATACCTATAGACATGTTAGATGGTGTTGTACAATCAAATCGTCCTGCTGAGAACTCACCGATATTCTGGTGGAAGGTTGCAGATGGAAAAGGAAGTCGGACACAATGAATGTGATGGCGCTATATTACTTCGTATATATGAGAACCTTATTGATTGAAAGTCAGCGCAAACCAAAACAAGGAACATGTTGAAAGCTCACCAGTCGACACCAAGATTCACACCGATACATAGTTCTCCATCTGGACCAGCTTTTTTATGGGGAAGGTTCGAAAAAAAAAGTTTACCATCCGGTGCCTTCAGTTTAGTCTTGCATACACTGCCGTTGAATATATCAATGTACTGATTTGGAGCTCGTGGCTTAGAACACCAGCCATCAAGGAGAGATTCGAGGCCCAGAACTTTGAGTAGTGACTTGATCTGATCTGAGAGCGGGAGGTAAGGGTATTTGATGAGTGGTGACTTGAGGGAGTGCTGGTTGCCGCATGCAGTCTTGTCAGGTAGGAAGAGGTCCTCATTGCACAAGGTACATTGATCATGAGAATGCGGGGAGCATGCAGGTGGAAACACGTTACAACACGATGGACAAACAGGGAGAGTATATATAGGTTTGTCGACGCCGAGTATGCGATTGCTGGATTGCAGGGTGACAAATGGAGGTTCGATATTGGGTGAAAGGGTGAGTAGAATACATGCGAAGATGGCCAGCAGTGCGTTGCATACAACTTTTGGGAGGTGGAACTGTAGGTGCAGCCATGACACGACTGTGTATATTGAGACAAGGTGACCTGGGAGATGCATGATATCGGTTGTGTCTTCTGCATAAAGTCCATCTGCAATAAAGAAAGGATCGGGATCATCTTCAGCAGGTTGAGCTTCGCCTAGTATGTCCTGGTACTTGTCAACGTCTTCAAGAGGATTTGCATCAGGATCGAGGTCCTGATCAAGATCTGGATTTTCTTCAGTGTTTTTTATGGCCTGCTGGAGCTGGTATTGGAGTTCATGCTCTTCTTGATCTGGTGGGAGATTGTGGGCATCATGGGGAGTCAAAGGACGCGAGCCAGCAGCTGTAGCCGCATTGTATCTGTCGAAATGGTCAATGGCAGCAAGCAAGGTCTCAGGACTCCAAATGTTGCGGCCAAGATAGGGCAATGGATCCCCTGGTTTCACAGAGCCAAGGTCCTCAGGCTCAAGAAACCCAGTGTCCAGCAGCGCGTCATCCAAATCCGGAGGGAAGTCGTAAAACTCAATGTTTGGAGATATTGAAGCTGGAGTTTCGTGTAACAGAACTGCGAACCCTCACAGAACGGGTCCAGCATTTTCACGAGCACCTAGGATGATGCGTTCACCGACACGCTTGAAGTTACCCTGTTCAGAAGTAGTTCGGTTGCATAGATCTGCACACTCATGTGCACAAGCAGTGTGTGCTGGGACGAGAGCTCCATGACAGTTGTTTGTTTTGCAGTGGCAGCGGACAGTAGGCATGTTGGCGACAACCTAGTCAGAAACTTGCGAGTGTTGCAATATAGTGGGGTCACGTGAATGCATCGCAGATGTCTCATGACAGAAACCACGCTCCTACTTTACAACTAAAAGTCTATCTTATGCTACTAGTATTCATCAAATGCGGGATTTTCTTTTTTTTTCTGGGGCCAAAGTCAGCAAATAGTGGAGAGTACATAGAAAATAATCTATTACATACCGTGTTGTACCAGCGATAAAATTCTGCTAGTGTGGCAGGCTCATCTTTAGTCTCCGGTTCTGACTCTGGTTCTGTTTCGCTATCATCAACTAGCAGCCCAGTACTAACAAGCGCTTGAGCACTAGTATGTTTCTAAAAGATGTGCTATTCGGTAATGCAAATGAAGATGACCGAGAAAACTCACAAGATCTTCAGCACCCAGCTCCGACTCAGGTTCGGTCACACTATCATCCACCACTGGAGGACCTGCCTCAACAGCGCCCAACCAATTGCTTAATGCTCCTGGCACCTCGGTGTGTATGCCACTGATGTCGGGACCCTTGACAGTACCTGCTTGTGGGCTTAGCATCTGGAGAGGCTTTCAGATAGATATTTCAATGGTCTGCAAAGAAAATTAGTTGGCATCAGTTTATTTGCGCAAGGTACTTACTACGGGTCCTGGTGTTCTGCACTCGAAAGTGAATTTAAATGTTTTCACATCCACGGGCAGCTCGAGCTTAATTGCATCGCAGGCTGCCATAGCGCAAGTAGTAAATACAAGCTGTAACACGGGACTTAAAGAAATTTTTGAAAAACCTACTTTGCTTTAAGTACAACTTAAACAGATGTCGAAAGGTTAGATTTCCGGGGCTGGTTTGTGGTTGAATAGCATGTATTTGAAGAGAATAAACGGAGGTCGGAAAAGATGTGTTAACGAAGTTGGAAAAGCGTTTGTTTACTCATGTTGCTTCAGACCGAGCGAACAAAATTTGTGACATGTCGGATTTTTGTCTGATTATAAGCTAGGTACTTTTAGAGTCGTATTATACGCGCTGTCTCCCTCTGATTAGGGTCCGACTATTTTCTCGTTTCTGCAGTGTGTGGGAGTGCCTTTGTAAAGATGTCGGCGACGTTTTTGTGAGTCGAGAGCCAGATGGGTAGGAAACTTCCTTCTTCGATGTGACGTCAGATAAAATGATAATGAAGGTCGATGTGTTTGGTACGAATGTGGTTGGCAGCGTCCTTTGACAAGGCGATGGCCCCGGCGTTGTCGGCGAATAGCTGAAGGGGCAGTGCGAGAGGGATCTGAATACACTCGAAGAAGGACTTCAACCATAGGCCGTCTTGGATCCTGGCCGTGAGAGCCATGTATTTAGTGCTGCTGCGGTCCGGTTCTGGACAGTTCTGTCCACGGTTCTGTTGTCAGCCCGAACCGGACCAGAAATCAGTTCTCGGTTCTAGGTCCTGCTGAACCATTCTATTTTGGTTCGCCCTTACCGAACTGTTCCACACCCTTCTCAACTCTGACTTCGATGTCACTTCGACGTTGACCAAACTTCAAGATTTGCACTCTACCCTTCTGCCTTTAGCCTTTTTGAAGGTACATACTAACTAATCCAAATTTTGATTCTCTCACACACTGACATTTGTTCAAATATGTCGCAGATATATGTTTCCTTGAGTCTGCACAACAATTATGATCTTCCAACTCTTTGCTTCAAACGATCTCCTTGGATTCCAATGTTCTGGGACGCGCAGGAGTTTTCTCCCTATTCTATGTATAAAAAAAGATGATGGCAGCAAAATTGTGAGTTGTCTTGTTGAAAATGTCCTGTGCTCTCAATCCTGATGGCTCCCTCAAGGATGCGTCTGACATCAAGTTTTACAATGATCCTGACGACGATATACCCTTGCCCAATGTCCCATCATCAAGCAACACTTTCCCTGTTCTACTCAAGGCTGGATGCACCCCAGCCATTGTTGTAGCTGGTTCTCGGCGCTCTGGCCGCCCTTCAAAGCCGTCGGCTCGCATTCGTGATGCTGACAATGCCTGTGGGCTGTCAGCATCAGGCTCCAGCACGAGGAAATGTGCTTTGTCAAGCGCTACAGACCCTCCAGTGCCCATCAAAAAAGCCACTATGCGCATCCTATCTCCTCCTGACACTGATGATGAAGACATCCCTTCTCCTCTTGATCCAGCATCCTCCGACGAGCTGATCCCCCAACCAGACGAGGACGAGGACACTGATGAAGTGAAGTCTGAGAATGGAGGCGCGACTCAAACTGTACGTACCTCTCTCATTGTCCCGAATGTCTTCCTTGGCTGACACTTGTATTTAGGTTACGAAAAGTGAACGTACAGCAGATATTTGGACTATATTCAGTCATATTCCTGACGGGTGGGTTTGTACCCTGTGCAAGTAAGTTGTTTGTTTATTTTTCAATCTCTTTTTTGACATGTTTGCACAAGGGACGCTGGTGAACCAGCACACAAGAACATGTTTCACGGAGGGACTTCAACACTGCGAACACATATAGTTTGCTACAAATGGACCCACTTTCGAGTCTACAAGGAGTGTTGTGATGCTGCAGCCATTACCATGCACTCTCGTGCGATTCCGCCTGGCGAAGACCTTACTGCGACACAGCAAACTCTTGATGGCAGCCTGGTTTCAAAACCGGCTGTATTTATGAAGGAGGGGCTAATGGAATATATAATGGAGCTCATCATGACGGAAGATGAGGTGCATTTTTTTTTTGTAATTTGTGTTGAGGTTTATTCACATCATGGCAGGCAATCCAACTAGTTGACAAGCCAGCTTTTCGATGTTTGCTGTTGTACGCTCGATCGTCCCTGTCTGAGAAAGATATCCCACATCGCACTAAATTGACTGACACAATCAAGTCTCGAGCAATCTCCATTGTCGAAAGGATCAAGGAGCATCTTGCAGTAAGTTTTTCTCTGCTTATATTATTAACTGTTTCATTAAGCAGTTTTGGTAGTATGTTGACAGCGCTGTGTCTATGACATTTGACTCATGGACGTCTATCATCGGCGAGCCTTTTTTTTCAGTGACTGGCCATTATATTTGGAACCCTCCTGATAAGCCGCAACACTGGGAGTTGAAACGTGAGCAGCTTGATTTCAGCCGTGTTGATGGTAACCATAGTGGCCAGAACATTGGCTGCATCCTTGTCGAGACAATAGATAGGTACAACATTCGCAAGAAGGTATGTTTTTCATGTTTTGTTCTAGCAATGTTCTAACTTTACTTTATACAGGTTGGCTGGATGACATTGGATAACACCTCGAACAACGACACCGCCATGAAAGAAGTGGCGAGGGTCTTGAATGAGGACGGCCATGATTGGCTTCCAGGTCCTCACCGCATTCGGTGTCAGGAACACATCCTCAATCTTGCTGCGCAACACTTTGTGGATGCAGTCGCACCCACCCCTCAAGCCACCTTACTCAAGAAAATCTGTCATGCTATGGATAACGGTGATGATGCTGACATAGACAGTTTAACTCAGCAGCTGGCTGCATTGGAATCCGATCCTGAGGCTGCAACTGAGGATGGATTCAATGTGGCAGATGCTGTCGGCAAAGCGCTCGCTCTCATTGAACAGGTGAGGTCCTTTTTTATTTTTGAGTTGTTTTGTGACATGAAAATTATAGATTTGCAAATCGCCACAAGCCAGGGCGTTCTTTCAAAAGTCTTGCGAGGAAGAGGGAATCCCCATTCGCGAGCTTTTGGCCTGGGTGAGAACATGCTGGGCATCTTTGTTTAAGTCCCTTGAACGCTTCTTGTCTCTTCGCCTGGTAAGTGAGACATATAGTCACATGTACAAAGATTTAATGTCTTCGATTTTTTCAGGCTGTCAATCATTTCACACTTCTTGCTGTTGACAGTCACAAAGTCCCGATGTTGCGCAATAAATTATATGGAGACTTCAAGCTTGATCAAGCCGACTGGAAGAAGTTACGACTAGTGCACAATGTTCTCAAGGTAATTTTTATTTATTTGTTCGTCTGTTTATTTGTTAACTTATGATGACCGCAGGAGCCTGCGACTGCGCAGCAGTCATTCTCTTCGGCCACACACCCAACGGCCTGGTAAACCATACCCACACTCAAGTGTCTTGCTGACACATGGTGGACAATGGCAAATGATCCAGAATACACAGCAATCGCTGATGCGATTCAGAAAGGCCTCAAGAACGTCAATAAGTACTATGAGAAAATGAGCGACTCAGATGTTTATTTCATCTGCCTGGGTGAGTTTCATTACTTTTTAGTGCATTTCTGAATCTGACATGACTATAGTGCTGGATCCCAACTACAAGTTGGCGTATGTCAAGAGCCATTGGACTGATACTAAGGTTGCAAGTGGGAGAGCGCATCTTCAAGTTGTGGTAAGTGTTATTTAATTGATTTATTCCACCAGTAGCTGATGAGTATGTACATTGTAGTTCAACAAGTACTACAAGGCTCCTCTGCTGCCGCATGCCACAGAACAAGCTACTGTTCCACTGAAGGTCTCATGGGCCATTCAGTATGGCAAATCCTGGATGTGTGATGCTGTCATCGCACATAAAGCCGCAGAACATCGCACGTGTGATCACTATCATGAACTCACCTCATATCTCAATTTGCCATTGGAGGAGACAAATGATGTTGTGGCATGGTGGGGGGTGAGTTTATTTTTTTGTTTAACACATTCTCAGCTCACATTATTTCATTAGCTGCACTCCCTACAGTATCCAACACTCGCTCATATTGCATGCGATTATCTACCAATTCAAGGTAGTGCTGTTTCCTCTGAGCATGCTTTCTCTAGCGGGGGTATCATGTCAACCCTGCGCCGCAATTCTCTGGCACCTTCCACCTTCTCTGCACTACAGCTAATGAAGGCCGCTTACCGGAATGGACATCTTTCAGTGGCTATGGAGGCAGAGGAGTATGTAGCTTAGACTAGTCACTCAATGTGTAGACTAGTATTTCGTTTATTATAATGTTTTTTTATGCTCCCCACAGAAAATTTTGGGTCTGGTTCAGGTTTGGACCCCAAAAAAACTGAACCGGACCATAGAGAACTGTTCTCTATGGTCTGGTTCTTGGTTCGGATATTTTGCAGAACTGAACCGATGGTCTGGTTCTCGGCTCTCATCTAGGACCCTCCGAACCAGACCACGGCAGCACTACATGTATTCAGCTTCCGTCGATGATAAAGCATGAGTGACTTGTTTCTTTGTGGAGTGAGAGATTGGGCCACCGTTGAAACACCAGGCATAGCCTGACACTGAGACTCAATCAGCAGGGCATGACGCCCAGTCAGAATCGCTGTACCCGTGCAGGTCAGGATTAATGCCGGCGCCCCCATAGTGAGTCCGCATATTGATAGTTCCCATGAGATATCGGAGAACATGTTTTGCAGCGGAGTAATGACAAGCTTCCAGGGAGGCATTGTGTTGTGCGAGGCGCATGACAGTGTGTGCAATGTCTGGGCGAGTGTACACCGCAAGGTATAAGAGTTCACCCACGAGCTTGCGGAACTCGATTCCCAGGTCATCTATGTGAGGGTGCATGTCAGTTGGACGTCCGAATGGAAAATTTGGGTCCATTGGCAGTGCAACTGTGTTGCATTGCATCATGCTGTGTTCTTCCAGTAAGAATAGGATATAATCCTCCTGGTGCATCCATAACTCCCATGTCTGTCAGTCTCTGACGGACTGAATGCCCAAGTACTTAGTGACTGGTCTGAGATCTGAGATGCCGAAACACTTAGTGATTGCGTTCTTCGTTTGATCAAGGAAGCGGCGATTGTTTGATCCAGCAAGACCATCATCAACGTGCCAGGCTATGATGCAGATGACCCGCACCCCCTCACTGTTGACATGGTTGAAGACAAACACAGCATAGTCGGTTTCACAGTGCAGGAATCC